CCGGCCCTTAATGGCATACGCCTGCACAATTGTATGCCGAATTCAACAAGAAATAGTTCCAGAAGAGGCCGTCAGGCCTGCTTTCAGCCCATGCGTGAGCAAAAAGAATCAGACCCCAGAAAAGCAGCCATCACGGAAAGGTACACGAGAGTCAGGAGAACTACATCCAGGGAGTGCAGCGCCACAAAGAAAGGATGACAATGTCCTCATTCACGTAAAATTCTGACACCATCTTCAGAAGAAAAGAAATGGAAGGTCGAAGAACTACTTAGTCCTTGTGCAAAACCAGGTAAGGTGGCTTACAGGACAAAGCCGCCACTCCGACACCCTCTAATCTTAATGGCAACTAGGAAGGCAACTCTTTGCCAAAGTGTAAGGGAAGGTATATCCTGAATGCTCTCAAAAGGGAGGCTTTCGATGAGCCCACAGCAACAAATTCAAGTCCCACAGTGGCAACAGGGAGCTCTCAGGGAACACTATGGGACGAACCCACTAAAAGAAAGCGCGATCCAAGGAATGCATGGCCAAGGGATGCTAAAAGAAGCCCGGGTAGAGACTTAACCGTTGATCATGCTCAAGGCAAGCTTCTGATCCATGCCACATTGGAGGAAGACAACACCCGAGCAACTGAAATGAGCAAGGATGTAAACCCAGAGCTTCACACCAAAAGATATAAACCCTCCAAGTGCAATGATAAATCTTCCGGAAGGTAGACTTATGAGCCTTTAACTCTGTCGGAATCACAGAGCCACACAAAACTCTCTGTCCCTCAGAACTAGGCTTTCAATAGCAACGCTGTCAAGCCAGTGACGGTAGACAGGATGGAGCACAGGCCTCCATCCATAGACGGACCTCTCGAAGGGGCAGCCACCAGGGAGCATCCGCCACCAACCTAACCACATCGGCATACCACGAGCGGCGAGGCCAGTCCAGAGTCACCAGGATCCTTTCAGCCTCTAGCCTAAGTAGCAGACAAGGAATCAGTCGGAGGACCGAAAGGAATAGTTGAGATTGTACTGATCCCAAGATGGCACTAGCACCTCTGTTGAGTTCCTTAGAGGATCTAACGATCTTACCAAAAACGTAGAACCTTAAGTTTGAGAAGGGACTCCAGAAGATCCACATCCACTATCCCCCAGCGAAGGCAGAGCTGACAGAACACCTCCTGAGGCAGGGACCATTTGCCCTGAGCCATCATCCAATGGCTGAGATAATCTGCTGGCCATTTTTTTGACCCCCCCGAATATGTACGGAGGACCTAGCTAGAACAAACCTTTCCGCCCATCTCAGGATGTGAGATGCCTCCAGCGCCACTGTGGCATTTCACATGCTCCCCCGATTGACTTATGCCACCACGGTGGTGTTATTCGACTGGATCCGGATCGGCAGACCCCGTAGGCGTTTCGTCCAATATGTCAGCCTGAGCATCCGAACCTCCAGGACATTGATGTAGTCGATCTTCCGGAGTCCAATGACCTTGAGCAGAGTCCGATTCCAGAACTCCTCACTAGCCCAGACTAGGTTGGCATCCAGCCTGACCACAAGCCCATCGAAGAGGAAGGAAGGACTTTCCATTCTGAAGAGCCAGAGACCAAAGCCACAAGAGAAGAAAGGTCATCAACCACCCCAGGAGAATTGAAATGTCCAGGGCAGCGGAAGGCCTGTTACATTTTGAAAGGATTTCTTTCTGCAGTGTTCTTGTATGGAACCAGGCATATGGAACAGCTTCGAAGGTAGCCACTGCTAGGCATGCAAAAAAGCAGAGAGGGTCTCCTGTAAGTCCAAGAGCTGCTGGACCGCAGACCAGAAAATTTATATTATATAGGGTGCGCTTGTTAGAGCCTAACCTCTGTAGCTGTAGGATAAAAGGTGCCAGATGGATATCAGGGATGGATGAATGGGAGCAATAACGCTGAGGCAGCTCTTCTTAGAGTGGAAGCAAGGCTCTAATGCAGTAAACATAAAAAAAGAGAGGAAGGCACCTCTAAGTGCAGTATACACAATTAATGAATAGATAAATTGCACTTACAAGATAAATAGTTAAAAAGACTTGTCCTGTGGTGTGTTAAGATCCAGGTGAGAGATTCAGCAGCAGCTCAGTCTATGGGATCAGGAAGTATGAACTAGGATGTGTTTGTGTATCCAGATACACAGACACATACTAGTTCATACTTCCTGATCCTATAGATGGAGCTGCTGCTGGACAGCTAGATGTCTCACCTGGATCTTAACACACCACAGGATGAGTCTTTAATTATTTATCTTGTAAGTGCAATTTATTTATTGTTGACTAATTGTCCATACTGCACTTAGGAGGCGCCTTCCTCTCTTTTTCATGGACCGCAGACCAGAGCTTCAGTAGTTTGTCTGAAGGGAACAGCTTGGCCTGCTCCAAATTGAGGATCAGCCCCAAATACTAAAAATCACACAAGCGATCAAATACCACCAAAAGAAAGCTCTATTCGTTGGGAAAAAAAAAAAAAAAAAAAAAGACGTAAATTTAATTTGGGTGGGTCACATGACCGTGCAATTGTCAGTTAAAGTAACACAGTGCGTAATGCAAAAAATGGCCTGGTCAGGAAGGGGGGTGAATCCTTAGGAGGGCAAGTGGTTAATATGTGATTTGTTAAATTTAGTTACCTGGGATATTATGCATTTATCCACAAAAGAACTAGGGTGTGGCAGATGTGATAGAAAATGTTGTATCCAATTATCAACTGATATTTCAGAGATACAATGTGCATAAGCTTGCAGAGGAATATCCACAGTTTTAATGTCTTCAATAGCTTTTGTTTTGATTAGTAAATATCTCCACACCAGGAGTAAACTAGTGATAGAATACAATGGAGGGGTAATTATCTTTGGCTGAAGAAAATATGCCATTATCAATGCAAAAAGATCATGTCCCTTTGTAACCTTTACTGCAGTACCCCACAATAAGTCTTCTGATAAGAACCAATATTTCAACTGATCTATGCGTGAAGCATAATATGCTGGTATGTCTGATAGACTCATGCCTCCTTTTAATGCTTATGTTAAATACATTTTTTAAATTTTAAATGTTCTGTCCTCATTTTTTTTATTTGACTTTTTGTTTTTCCTAAATCTTTGTTTTTATTTTTAACTGGAAAAAAACCCCAAAACCAAAAACAAAAAATCACATATGCACAAAGGTTTCCATTGTCAAAACCACAAGTAATATTAATAGTTCATAAGAAAAAAAAAAAAAAAAAAAAAAAAACACCTTCTCTTCACATGACACACAAGGCAATATTGTCTGACATTTTATTAGATTAATACTCAAATGTATGGGACTATAACAAATGTAACACATCCGTTATATTACGATTTTATTCTCTGAAGTTTTGTAATGGACTTTAGCATTTTCCTTATAGCTAGTGGCTGTGCTTGTAATGGTCAAGCTGGGTGACTGTGTATGATTAGATATCTTCACACTTGCATTTTAGCACCAAGCGACAGCTGTTAGCAACTGCCTGGAACTGCTGTTCTTCTCTGTGATAAACAGATTATCAAAGCTCACATCAATATGGTCTACTGAAATTGTGTACAGAACACTGCATTGATGTTCAGATAATCTGCAATGGTATGCAATGTGCCCCATGTATGGTATGCAATGTGCCCCATGACAATCATTTATTGCAGACATGCATGGAGATAGCTGTCAGAAGTCAGTACAATAAGGCAGGTGTGAAGATTTATAGTCTACAGGTACCCTTACAAACCAAAAGCAAACCGGCATCACCACTATTCCATTACCCATTTTCACCAGCACACTGGATTTATTGAAGATATCTGCTAGAACACAGCTATGTCTATAAAGCATTCATTCACTTTCATAGACCCCACCTCAATAAAGAAAAATGGCAGAACCTACAGAGAGTCTGCTTAATGAATATGATAGTAACAGAGGGGGGTTTCCACTTTAATACCCCAGCTTTATATACCTTCATGAAGTAACAAAGGGATCTTGTCTGTATTTTCATACAAGACCCCATCCTAATCTTGTATACACTGGCTCTGCAGGGTAAGTAAATATAGGGAAAGCGAGCTATTTTACAACCCAAGCCAATAAGCCAAGCTTGCTCTGGGGGCACTCAGGAGTGAGGGGTCAGGAGCGCAAGCGCGGGGGAGGCCCGAGAAGGAGGATCCGGGTAGAGCCATGGCTCAGGAACATGCTTACTTTGATGCTCACAGAGCAAGCTGGTTGCTCTGGGGCACTCAGCAGGAGGGAGGGGTTAGGAGCGCCGGTGGGGGGACCCGAGAAGAGGAGGATCCGGGCAGAGCCACGACTCAGGAACATGCCTACTTGGGTGCCCCCAGAGCAAATTGCTTGCTCTGGGGGCACTCAGCAGGAGGGAGGGGTCAGGAGCAGCGGCAGGGGAACCCAAGAAGGAGGAGAATCTGGGCTGCTCTGTGCAATACCACTTTACAGAGCAGGTAAATATGACTTTTTTTTTTTTGGAATAACAAACCAAGACTTTATAATCACTTTAACTGTGCTTTACACGATCCTGTAATTCAGCATAGCTTGATACAGGTCAGGCAAGCCAATTGCAGGCTCAGGGCTACATCTGAACAGAAAACCCCCACATACAAACTGAGAAAATCATACAGGGCTAAACTTTGGGGGAGGGATGGGGCATTTTATCCATTTTGCTACTACATGGAGATGTATTAAGTAGGGATTGTTGTTAAGAGTGGAAAATAAATCTCTTTCTACTGGTCACATGTCTTAAGACTTAATGAATTTAAACTTGTTACAATAAAGGTACAAAATATTAAATTATAAGTGTCTCCCCACAAAGAAAACAAAATAAAGGGGAGCTGTACAAAAGCTGAACAAGAAAAAAAAGAGAAAAAAAAAAAAAAAAAAAAAAAGAAGAATCCTTCCACAGCCAAACAGGTGACCAGTGAACAGGATACTACAGATAATGAAATCACAGTTCATAAAACTCGGAGTCGTCTCACAAAGAAGGGGGTCACTCTCTCTGTTCCATCTTCACTTTGGGGGGCTTTAAAAATGTCCGTGCCTTTTTTTCCTTTTTTTTGGACTTTGAGTGTGCCTGAAAATTTCTCCAACTGTCAACACGCCCATCTCGACTTTCCTAAAATAATTAAAAAAAAAAAAAAAAAAGTCACGCTCAAGATCAATGTAAAAATTGCAGAAATCACCAAAACGTTTAAAAGAAACCAGATTGTGTATGCTGTGAGAAGATGCCACAAGGCAGCCCATCAACAACATGCCAAGAAGTACCTAGTGAAGACTGCAAATGTCTGGAACCAAGAGTGGCATATGGATCTTAGTACAATTTAATATGTACCTCATATAATTAAACCACGCTTTCAGGAATACCTTCCACCTCTTGTAAAGGGAATTCCCTTTGCAAAAATGATTAAAGTGGTTAGGAGCAACTCTAACCCTGTTACTGCATTAATAAAATTAGATAAAATGATCCAGCGCTTTACAGAAAGAGGATCATATATCACTCATTGCCCATCCTCAAGTGCATGGTAATTGACCGCGTTTCCCCGCTAACCAGAGGTGGAGATCACCATCGCATATCACAGTAATGTGAATGTCGTTGGATTGATTCTTTACAAACCATGGCACTGAAATTTCTTAATGAACAATTGAGCTACAATTGCTTCCTGTGATATTTTGCCATCACATCAAGATTCTGCACCATATAGGATTGATTGCCTCTGTTTTGAAGTTTTTCAGGGATATGATGATTGGCAGCAGTGATGTTAATGTGTGTGCTTCTCTCATCAGAAGTTTCTTGTAATTTTGGTGTCCCCCACGTTTTGTGATCAGGCTATCCTTGCTTAAAAAGCTTCCCCATTTTACTGGCGAAATAACCTTTCCTTTGATGACCTGTATAAAGCCCTCCTTATATCTTCACTCAGATTTTGAGAAACATTTTTCCACTATTCATAGTCCACAGTGTCTGACAGACTACACAAAACACACTTGTTTTTCTGATATCAATTTCTATTGGAGATGGTTGGCAGCAGCTATCGCCCTGTGTGTGGTCATTCTGTCAGATGCTCGTTGCTCTATGTCCCCACACATTGCAATCTACCTGACTTTAATCCTCTATTTTGCTAATTTTTCTTGTGGGTTTGATAGCATGAATACATTTGTTGATCACCGTAACCAGTTTCTGTGCCCCCCCCCCTATTATTTAACTTGCGCCCCCCCCCCCCCCCAGGTAACTCAACCCTGCCATGGTTGTTTACATATTATTTACACTGTTTAAAGCCTACATTTTCCTTTAGGAACATAAGTCCTTTGCCCTGCTGACTCCCTGTATACTAGCATGATGACCCCTGTACACTCCCTTGTTGACCTCCCATCCTCTGCCCACCTGACATTTTTTACTGCACCCCCACATCAGACTTGCTAGATCAGCCCGGTTTTAAATTTTTGTCGCTCGGTCTCCCTCACTCTGTCTCTTGCACACCTATCCCAGTACTAATTCAGCTTGAGCAACATCTAATCTAGGCAGCATAATGCCGTCATACGTTTCTCTGGTCTCGTGCACCCACACCATTGTTATACATATATAAAAAATCCAGCACCTGAACAGTAAAGAATAAGATATGAATTTAAAAGAAAGGGCGGCACTCAAGGGGCTTGAAAGGTGGACATTCAGTGATCAAGTATATTCTGTTGGAATCACACTCCTTAGTCATATATTTCACAATGGGATCCTTCTGTCATTTGCTGCCCTTCAATTGAAATTTAATTTACCATCCTCTGTGCATCTATACTAAATGCAATTAAGACATGCCATTAAGGCTCAGAGTACTTCCACTGAATGGATACTGTCCCCTACCCCCATTTTAAATATTAAAATATGCTGAAAATTCTAAGGGGTTCAGATCACATTGCTACACTATGCTCCTGAGGACTTTCCTCCATTTACACCCATTGAAGGTGACAGAGAAATGGGAGGGCGATGTTGGTCCACTTACGGGTTACAATTGGGAAGAAGCCTTCCAATCTGTGATTTGCTCCCTAAATGTAACACAATTATACACTCTTCTACGAGTATATTACACTCCATACAGGCTGTAAACTATGCGTCTCTTGACTGCCCCTCAATGCACCAGATGCAACAGGACTAGAGACCTGATCCATCTCTTGCGGAGATGCTCACAATTCTGAATTCAGTGTTTCAGGTATCCCACCCCTTGGATCTGAAATGCAGTATACTTAGTATACTAGATCTAGAAGGAGGCCATAGTAAGGGCCTTGTTCCAATCCACAAACTTATACTGGTCCATTGGAAATCAGAGCATCCGCCCACTCTGGGGGAATGGATCAAGAATGTAGGCAGCAATTTAAGATTAGAGAAATGTATTTACCAGCATAGGGGATGTCCAAACATATATGAAAAACCATGGGCTCCATGGTTGAAGGTTCCTGGTCTGGCACCTACAGACCTAATAATGGATAGGTTGTTAAGAAGTTACTCTGGGTAGAGATACAATTGTACCCCTTGCATATATGCCAAGCTTAGTATAAGTAACTGTGAAGTCTTTAATAATGCAGATGTATACTTATGTGAAACTTGATGCTGTATTGACTATTTTGTAAACACTCTTTTGGGTGAGTTGTGCCATCTTGTTTTGAATGGCAATGTTTTGACTCCTGTTAATAAAGAATAAATAAGAAAAATTGGTGTAGCGCTAAACAAATGCCACTATGCATAAACATGTACATAGATAGAACCTAAACTAATACATAGGGGTATATATACTTTCAGATATAACACAGATAATCATGCATACAAGGATAAAACCCCTTGTATATCCCCTAATAGGGAAAAACGTGACTATATGCTTGTGGTGGTTGCACACAAAATCATGCAAAAAGATGACACACTGCAACAAGTGATAAAAGTGAATATTATACAGTCCACTTCAAACAAAAACTGTGAGCCTTTAGGAACCGTGAGAGTGCCACAAATCCTATAATGGTCTGAGTGCCTCCTCACCTCCCCGCACTGTATAATATTCACTTTTATCACTTGTTGCAGTGTGTCATCTTTTTGCATGATTTTGTGTGCAACCACCACAAGCATATAGTCACGTTTTTCCCTATTAGGGGATATACAAGGGGTTTTATCCTTGTATGCATGATTATCTGTGTTATATCTGAAAGTATATATACCCCTATGTATTAGTTTAGGTTCTATCTATGTACATATGTTTATGCATAGTGGCATTTGTTTAGCGCTACACCAATTTTTCTGATTTTTACTTATGCACTTTTTGGTTAAAAGGAGGGTGTTGGCAGCTTAGTGTTTTATTCATCTGAAGCGCAGGAGGTTTTAATATATTTTAGTTCTGTTAATAAAGAATATTTTCATACACACCAACATACAAACACATGGATTGATTAAACCGAGTGTGCAAGATTTGGTGCATCTGTGCATGCTAGCCAATCAGCTTCTAAAGCCAGCCATACATGGATCAAATTCTGAAAGGATTTTCGTCCTAATTTTGCACCATTAGTAGGTCACAGAACCGGCCGATTTTCATGTGACCATTGAATTTGAGTGATCGGGCATGTTGAAAAGTTTTTGAATAACAAACGAATTTCGAATCAATGATGGGAGAATGGTGCGAGAAATATAAATGAAAAAGAAATAAGCATGAGCTGTGACCTGGAAAGAAAAGAAAATTCTTGGCCACGAAAATTCTTTTCTGTAGCAACATAAGGTGAAATTGAAGGCTTGGTTGGTTGAATTTCGAAATCAACGGTGGCACCATCGGATTACAAAACGCACGAAATTTCAGATTTTCTAAAGGAATTTAGTTCGGATTTTGACCCATGTATGGCCTGCATAACATCAGATTGTTCAATTAAGCTGACAAAAAACCTCCAATAAAACCAAAAACAAAACAAAAAAAAACCAAAAACCTGGAAGCGGATTGGTTTATATACACAGCACCAGATGTTGCACTCTCCAGTTTAATTGAATCAACCCCAGTGTGTCTCTTATTCTTTTTATACTTTTTTTTTTTTTAAATAAAAACACACATTGTATATTTTTTAATTTTTATTGCACTTCTTGGGGGTAGGGGGATTTGGAACAAGTCAAGTACCAGGACGAAACCTCCCCATCTAATGCAGCAGCAGATCACTGCTATCAAGAGTGCAATAGATCACCATAGCAGTGAAACTAGGTTGCCCAAACCTCTGTAAAGACAGGAAGTGCTGTGATGTCACATCCTTTCTTCTAATACAATGTTGTGTTTACTTCCAGTTCTACAGAACACTCTATAGACAAGTACTGATAGACAAGAGGTTAAGTCCAATTTAACCTTTGTTTAAATTTGCTAAATACATTCCAAGCATATCAAAGCAAATTGTGTTCAATGCCTTAAAGTTTATTTTCTAAAACAGCTACAACCTGAGTATCAAGGCCAGCCCCTGCCAGCAGCTGCAGAGTGGAAACTCTGTGTTGAAGCAGCTGTACCTTTGCAAAGATCAGACACACCCCACAATGATACAGACCTATACGTCTGCAATCAGCAAAGCTTATATTTCAATAGGTAAAAACTGCCGCACAGTACCTTTTAGAATGTTTATGTTATACAAATACATTAAATAAATAAAACGCAAAACAGAAAAATAGGGAAAAATTGGGAGGAGCCAATGAAGTCACGCCTCAAAAACAGCCTTCTTATGAGTTACCAGAGACACTGAACCTTAAGGGGAGACACTACTTTTTATCTGAAGTGCGCCAGATTGGAACACATTTTAATGTGATATTCTAATCATATTTTAATAAAATGCTGTGATGTAAAAAAAGAAACAAAGATAAATAATTTCAGAACTTTTTCCACCTTTAATGTGACCTATAAACTGTACAACGCAATTGAAAAACTTAAAGCTAAAATAATGTGGTTGCGTTTACATGCTGGAGCAACAATTATAATAAAGTATGCAATTCTAAAAACCAGAACAAAGTGTGTAGAAAGTCACTTGTTTGTTCACAAATGAAGTAAAAAATCATGAGCATTCTACTCTACAAGATGGGGCAGTGCCTACATCCAATATAAACTCAAGGAAGGTACAGTGGATATAAAAAGTCTACACACCCCTGTTAAAATGTCAGGTTTCTGTGATGTAAAAAAAAATGAGACAAAGATAAATAATTTCAGAACTTTTTCTACCTTTAATGTGACCTATAAACTGTACAACTCAATTGAAAAACAAACTGAAATCTTTTTAAGTGGAGGGAAGTAAACAAACTAAAATGTGGTTGCATAAGTGTGCACACCCTCTTATAACTGGGGATGTAGCTGTGTTCAGAATTAAGCAATCACATTCAAAATCATGTTAAATAGGAGTCATTACACACCTGCCATCATTTAAAGTGCCTCTGATTAACCCCAAATAAAGTTCAGCTGTTCTTGTAGGTCTTTTCTGACATTTTCTTAGTTGCATCCTACAGCAAAAGCCATTGTCCGCAGAGAGCTTCCAAAGCATCAGAGGGATCTCATTGGTAAAAGGTATCAGTCAGGAGAAGGGTACAAAAGAATTTCCAAGGCATTAGATATACCATAAAACACAGTGAAGACAGTCATTATCAAGTGGAGAAAATATGGCACAACAGTGACATTAACAAGAACTGGACATCCCTTCAAAATTGATGAAGACGAGAAGACAACTGGTCTGGGTAGCTGTCAAGAGGCCTACAGCAACATTAAAGGAGCTTCAGGATCATCTGGAAAGTACTGGCTGTGTGGTACATGTGACAACAATCTCCCGTATTCTTCATATGTCTGGGCTATGAGGTAGAGTGGCAAAGCAGAAGCCTTTTTTTTTTTTTTTTTACGAACAAAAACATCCAAGCCCGGCTAAGTTTTGCAAAAACACATCTGAAGTCTCCCAAAAGCACGTGGGAAAATGTGTTCTGGTCTGTTGAAACCAAGGTTGAACTTTTTGGCCATAATTCAAAAGATATGTTTGGCGCAAAAACAATGCACATCACCAAAAGAACACCATACGCACAGTGAAGCATGGTGGTGGCAGCATCATGCTTTCGGGCTGTTTTTCTTCAGCTGGAACTGGGGCCTTAGTCAAGGTAGAGGGAATTATGAAGTTCCAAATACCAGTCAATAAAGCTGAACATGAAGAGGAACTTCATCTTTCAGCATGACAACGACCCAACGCATACATCCAAATCACCAAAGGAATGGCTTCACCAGAAGAAGATTCAAGTTTTGGAATGGCCCAGCCAGAACCGAGACCTGAATCTAATTGAAAATCTGTGGGGTGATCTGAAGAGGGCTGTGCACAGGAGATGCCCTCGCAATCTGACAGATTTGGAGTGTTTTTTGTAAGGAAGAGTGGGCAAATATTGCCAAGTCAAATTGTGCCATGCCAATAGACTCATACCCAAAAAGAGTGCTGTAATAAAATCAAAAGGTGCTTCAACAAAGTATTAGTTTAAGGGTGTGCAAACTTATGCAACCATATTTTAGTTTTTTATTTTTTACTTCCCTCCACCTAAAAGATTTCAGTTTGTTGTTCAGAGTTGTACAGTTTATAGGTTACATTAAGGGCGGAAAAGGTTCTGAAATGATTTATCTTTGTCTCATTTTTTTACATCACAGAGAGATGACATTTTAACAGGGGTGTGTAGACTTTTTATATCCACTGTATATACAAACACACATACAGGGTTTAAATGCTAATTGCTTCTAAGGCCTCATTCACACCATATGTGTAGAAAAACTGATTTCACTTGCAGAAGACATCAGTTTTCATGTGCGCTCCAATGAATTTTATACAACATGTATCCCTGCACAGAAAAAAATCTGCACGTGATGTTACAGAGAACAATTGATTTTTTTTGTGCCCTCGCAGGATGCATGCAGAAAAACGGACGTCTCTGCATCATGATGTGAACGAGCCCTTATTCTTGAGACAAGACCTACGAGTGCCTCTTCCAGCTTATTTTCTCACACACGATTACTATATTTTGAAGAGGCCACTGCTACTTAACAGTGGTCTTGTGAAACACATTAAGCAAGACACCAGTGAAACTTCTGGTGAAAACCAATACGGTTCTGTGTAGACATATACAAGGACAATGCATTGGTATTTCCCAGGTGTGTCATGAATGTATACAAGCAAGTTTATTTTGATATCTTATGAATTTATATTTCCAACTGTGTTATTTTTTAAAGTAACAAACTCTGAAGAAGTTTATGTGTAGGCAAACTGCTACATATAAAAAGCAGAACAGAGTGATCAAGAATGTTTTTTTTTTTTTTTTTTTTTTTTTTAATTGCGGCACAGAAAAGTGAGCTCAGAACCTGGCTGTGTTTTACAAATTAAAGCACATTTAAGCTATAAATTTAGCCTTCACTTTAAACCAAACTATGAAACTCCAAAACTGTACCTCAAAGTTTTTCTGCCATTCTCTGTCACGTTTGGCTTTTTCTTCAGCTTCTATTTCTTCTTCCCTTTGTCTTTTCCTGAGAGAAAAGTAAAAACTATTAACTGCATGTCCTATACACAAAAGGAACAATGTAATCGCTAAATACCACCTACTAAAAAATAAATAAAAAGGCCCCATTATGAAATACAGATCTTAGTTTAACGCGTACTGTTGTACAGGTTAATTCGGTTTATGAAACCAAGGTGCTAATAAAGTGACAATAGTGGCAAATTCAAAGTGAAGCGCTCAAAATTAGCACTAAAGTGAATGATATTGCATAAGTGTCCTGCAGAATAACAGCGAGTAAGTGATATTTGCAAATAAATATAAAGAGACAATAGTGAACAGTTCAGTATAAAATAAATGGATAAGATCATTCGGATGAGTAGCAAATAAGAGTCCAAGAAATCTCTATGATGATAGTAATATATCCAACTCCTCTACAGGTAGAGAAAACTTCCATGGTATGGAAACAGGAAGAACACCACTGGCTTCTCACAGCATTACAGGGATGACTCCGACACCACCACTATTTGCTATTCATCTGAATACCCTTATCCATTTATATTATACTGGACTGTTCACTATTGTCACTTCACATTTATTTGCAAAGATCACTTACTAGCTGTTATTCTGCGGCAAACTTATGCAATATTATTCATTTTAGTGCTAATTTTGAGCGCCTCACTTTGAATTTGCCACTATTGTCACTTTATTTATTGGCACCTTGGTTTCATAATATTGTACAGCGCTGCATTTTAAGTTTTTTCATATTTTTGCTGATATAGGGGTTTCAGGCCAGCTGCTTTGTGTGAGTTGGTGCGCTCGCTTGCTTTGCCTTTAACAGGTTAATTAGGTTTGTTTGCAGACTGGCTGGCAAGTTAGAGCTGGGAATTTTTTTCTTTTGTTGTTTGTCATGCGTCGCCCTTCCATGTGCTCCTTGTTGTGAAGGCCAGTAATAGACGGGGCAGTGGCCATTTTTTTGGATCTTAGTTTTAATATGAACTGTCCAGGGCTCTTAATTTTTAACGGATTTTATTCTTTGCATTAACAGCCATGTTAAAAAGTAAGTACAGCCCATGGAAATGGTTAACAGTTCAACATTTATGAATAGCAAACATTGGATCAAAACGTGTCTACAGGTAAGGTGAAAATACTTTAGCAAATGACACTGTGTATTATTTTTCATTATCTACACAAATGCAGACTTGTCATATGAAAAAATAAAGTACACTGCTACATTTACCACTTCAAATCAATGAAATTAGAAGCCAGTGTTCCAAATTAAGTACCAATAATTAGAACCTCCCAATAGTATATGCAGGTGGAACCTTTTTTTAAAGGACAAGTTCACCTTTCATAACACATTACACCCATATTCAAGATGTAAAATGTTATGAAATGACCTGCCCCAGATCCCCCGTTTTGATGCCCAGCCATATCACTTATAGTTTCTCATGCACAGAACACTGTGAATAAGTCCCGACCGCCTTAATGGCGGTCTGCTTGTAGTTCTCAGTGAACTATCACAACACTGAGAGCTGTGGTAGTTTATTGATCCTATCAATAAAAAACGGCTTGCTCATACGAAGTACAAGCAAGCAGATACACCGACAGGTCTGCAGGAGACCTGCATGGCATCAGCGATCTGGCTCCTACAACAAATAAATGGACATTTTTAATCTGCAAAAAATATGTGCATTTATTATTTTTGTTGAAAGGTGAACTTATCTTTTAAACTTCACTTATCTGGTGTATGGTGCTCGCATCATGCTAAGATCAATAGAGCTCTCTAAGGCCCCCAGAAACAAAGCTGCATATGCCTATGAGTCTGGCAAGGGAATACAATATTACGAGATTAGCAGACTTTAATCTTCCTAGCGGTAATCCCGAGTGTGACTCGGGGATAAATTTACAGTACCAAAAGCGGTAACCCCGAGCCACACACGGGATTACACTATAGTGCTTCCCCTACGATCCCCCGATCATTACCTTCCTGCGATCCCGCGATGTTCTTCCACTGTGTCCTCTGGCCGATGCCGGCATCTGACTTCCATTCCCTGCGAGCATTGTAATGCAGGGGGGCAGAACCGGCGGAGATTCAAAAAAGTAATAATATGACACACACACAATACATTGTAATGTTAGTGTTACATTACTGTATCAAACTATTTCACCTAAATTTTGTCTCTAGTGCTTTGTCCAGTGTCCTGCCTGCACTTTTACGGTTCTTTCTGCCTGGAAACTTGAGAACGTCCATGGCATCCAAAAAGCGTCCCTTAAGGTCAAAAGCGATTTTAGATCAGCTAGAAAACAGCGATAGTGAATTAGAATCACTTTCAGAATTGAGCGATAGTAATTAGTGGGGAAATTCGTCATCAGATACTGAAAACGATTCTATTATTTATTTTTTTTTTTTAACGGAACAAAAATAGGGTTTTCTTCCATTCAAAAAAAAAAAAAAAATATTAACAGATGCAGACATTAACGGATGTAAACAGATCTAGTTACATCTGCTAGTCCAAAGAAATTCTTGGGTGTCCGTTTTTCATTCGTAAAATGGATAGATGAAAAAGGGACACACGGAACGCCGTGTGAAAGGTGCCTTACATCTATTCATATTTTTGTCAAAAAAATCATTCAGAAAGGAATTTTCATTGCTTACGTATTTAAGTATATCATCTTTATCTGTGGGCAATGTGTAAATCAATATTTAATATTTGCATTGTGAAGCAAGGATCTAATGTCTACTTGTTCAAATATGTTGAAAGTCAACAAATTCCATGGGGGTGTACTTACCTTTTCACTTGACTGTAGTTCAATAGCTTGAATATAACATGCATGCACAAGTACAAGACTACAGATACAATGTTAGGAGCATAATGCATTCATTTAAGTAGCAAAAATTGGATTAAAACCACTACTAGGAAGGCTTTGCACTAGTCAACTGCCATTTTGTTTTCTTAAGCCTGTTCACATATGTCCGGTGCACATTCAGTGCGGTTTAAAAAAAAAAAAAAAAAAAAAAAGTCCTGTCTGATTTCTGAGCAGTGCAGTCCGGTTCAGGTGTGGATTACGGCTATTGACACACTTACACCTGAGCTACCCCGTCAGGAAGATGTCACTGTGGACAGCCAGCCATCAGTGGCATTCCGACCCCACAGCCTCACGTATACAAGGGCATGTAAAATGTGCAGCTGCAGGGTAAGGAATGCCTCCACTGCTTATGAGTTTAGAGTTCAGGGATCAGTAGTACGTGGCGCGGAGTTCAGGGATCAGTAGTACGTGGCGCGCGGGGTTCAGGGATCAGTAGTACGTGGCGCGGGGTTCAGGGATCAGTAGTACGTGGTGCAGAGTTCTGCAAGCTGCATGTTTAGTATGCTTTCAGAAAATGCTAAAAAAAAAAAAAAAAAAAAAAAAAAAACACACGCCATAAATGCGCAACCCAATAGAAAGTCTATGGGAAACTGCAGCTTAAACCACATAACAATCGCAGGTACACCCAAGCTGCAATCAACCCGCAGTGCAGCAGTGTGTGAAAACAGCCGAATCAGACGAGTATGAAAAGTTTTCATTGCCTCGATCACACAATCTGAATAGTCATTAAAATTAACCATTCACGTTAGCTCTGATTTTATGATTTGTTTTACTGTAACAGTAGTTGCAGGCAATGCTGGACTGCTGCTAACAGCCAGTGCTGTATTTTACCTTACAAGAGTCTATTTGACATTATATTTTTACTCTATGGCATCTATTTACCTTGTCTTTTAGTCGCTGAGGCTGCTCCTGTTATTGGTGAAGGCATGTCTGTGTGCTCAAAATGGTCTAGCTAACTGAAGGGGAGAGAAAGGAGAGAGGAAAGGGAGGGAAAGGAGGGAAGAGGAAAAGGAGGGAAGAGGGAGAGAGAAAGGAGGGAAGAGGGAAGAGGAGAAAGGAGGGAAGGAGGGAGAGGAAAGGAGGGAAAGGAGGGAGAGGGAAGAGGAAAGGAGGGAAGAGGGAGAGGAAAAGGAGGGAAGAGGGAAGAGGAAAGGAGGGAAGAGGAAGAGGAAAGAGGGAAGAGGAGGGAAGAGGAGAGAAGGAGGGAGAAGAGGAGGAGAAGAGGGAGAAGGAAGGGAGAGGGAAGAGGAGAGGAGGGAAGAGGGGGAGAGGAAAGGAGAGGAGGAGAGAGAGGAGGGAAAGATGAGGAGAGGATGGGAAGAGGAGAGAAGAGGGAAGCGGGAGGAGGAAAGGAGAGGAGAGGAGGGAGAGGAAAGGAGAGGGGAAGAGGGAGAGGAAAGGAAGAGGAGGAGGAAGAGAAGAAAGGAGGAAGAGGAAGAGGAGAGAAGAGAGGAGGGAAGAGGGAGAGGAAAGAGAGGAGGGAGAAGAGGGGAGGAAAGGAGAGGAGGGAAAGAGGGAGAGGAGAGAGGTGGGAAGAAGAGGGAGAGGAGAGAGAGAGGGAAGAGGGAGAGGAAAGGAGAGATGAGGGAAGAGGGAGGAGGAGGGAAGAGGGAAGAGAAGAGGGGAGGAGAGAAGAGGGAAGAGGGAGGAGGGAGAGGAGAGGAGGGAAGAGGGAGAGGAGAAAGAGGGAGGGAGAGGAGGGAAGAGGGAAGGAGGGAGGGGTGAGAGGGGGAAGAGGGAGAGGAGAGAAGAGAGGGAAGGAGGGAAGGGAGAGGGGAGGAAGAGGAGAGGGGGAAGAGGGAAGAGGGAAGAGGGAGAGAGGGAGAGGAGGGAAGAGGGAAGAGGGAAGAGGAGAGAAGAGGGAAGAGGGAGAGGATCTGGGAAGAGGGAGAGGAGGAGAGGAAAGCGGGAGAGGGAAGAGGAAGAGGGGAGGAGGGAAGAGGGGAGAGGGAGGAGAGAGAGGGAAGAGGGAAGAGGGAGAGGGAGAAGTGAAGGAAGAGGGAGGAAGAGGAGAGGGAGAAGAGGGAAGAGGGAGAGGGAGAGGAGGAAGAGGGAAGAGGGAGAGGAGGGAAGAGGGAAGAGGGGAGAGGAGGGAAGAGGGAGAGGAGTGAAGAGGGAAGAGGGAGAGGAGGAGAGGGAAGAGGGAGAGGGAGAGGAGGGGAAGAGGGAGAGGAGGGAAGAGGGGAGTGGAGAGGAGGGAAGAGGGTGAGAGGGAAGAGGGAAGAGGGGAGAGGAGGGAAGAGGGAAGAAGAGGAGAGGAGGGAAGAGGAAGAGGGAGAGAGGAGGGGAAGAGGGAGAGGGAGAGGAGGGAAGAGGAAGAGGGTTCCCTGTGTGAGGAGGGAGAGGAGGGAAAGAGGGGGAGGGAAGAGGGGGGAGGAGGAAGAGGGGAGAGGGGGAAGGAGGGGTAGAGGGGAGAGAGGGAAGAGGGGAGAGGGGGAAGGGGAGGGGAAAGAGGGTTTGAGAGGAAGGGGAGGAACGAGGGAGGAAAAGAGGAATTTTGAGGTTTTCTTTCCCTAGGAGGGAAGAGGGTGAGTGAGGGGTCTTTGGGAGAGGAGGGGGGAGGGAAAGAGGGAGAGGAGGGGGGAGTGGGTTGGGGGGGAGTGAAGAGGGAAGAGGGGGGAGGGGAGAGAGGGGAGTGGGGGAGGGAAGAGGGGGGAGGGGGAGGGGGAGGGGGGAGGGAAGAGGGGGGAGGGAAGAGGGGGGGAGGGAAGAGGGGGGAGGGGGGAGGGAAGAGGGTGGGAGGGGGTTTGTGGGGCCGAGGGAGGGAAGGAGGGGGGAGGGAAAGGAGGGAGAGGGGGGAGGGAAAGAGGGGAGAGGGGGGAGGGAAAAAGAAGAGGGGGGAGGGAAGAGGAGTGTTTTGTTTGAAGTCTCCCCTCCAGTCTCCAGCCCACATCAATCCCCAGAGAGAAGGAAGGGGGGCGATCCCGGCCTGTGTCAGCATAAGAATCCAGGAAAGTGTAGCCCCCTCCACAGGTCATTAACCCTATTTTAACAGAATTGGGGTGTCTCCTCAGAGAGCAGAAACGATGTGTATGTACTAGTAGCTCATAAAGATTAAGCAAAAAGAGTGAAACCCATACTTCTCTCTTAAGTTAATTTTAGGACACAAAATGGCAATAAATTACCCTATTTTTTATAAAATATAAAAGATGCACCGAGTAAATAGATATCCAACATGTAAAACCTTAAATTTGCATGCACTTGTGAAATGGCAACAAACTTCAGTACCCTATATTTTCTATAGGCAACCCTTTAAAGCCCCTTATAGGTCAAAAGTATAGTGTTTACGGAGGAGATCTTGTGCTAGAATTATTGCTCTCATTCTAGTGTGCACAGCGATATGTAACACTTTCATGTGTAGGCACCCAGCGTGTGCTTTTACGTTTGTACGCGCTTATTTGTGGGGGGGCTCAAATTTCTTTTTGTTTGAGGGGAAGTTATGTGCTTGGGTGTAATTAATTTTTTCCAATTAAAAAAAAAAATCGTTTTTTGCTTAACCACTTCCCGACCGGCCATTGTATATAAACGGCCGGACGGTGGCACTGCAGGGTCGGGTGGCCGTCAATAAACGGCCTCCCCGCACCCTGCTTGTGCGCGCTCCCTGGGAGCGCGCAGCACCGCGATCCGGTGCCCGCTGTGTCCTCCGGACACAGTGAAACACCGATCGTCGGACGGGACCTCTGTACGAGGTCCCGATCATGTGATCACTGATTGGCCAATCAGTGATCACATGCAAAGTAGTAAGCAAGATGTCACTTGTGACATCATTGCTTACTACGTGTGAAATCTGTGAATGATCACAGAGGTCACATGGTACAAGGCTATTCACAAAAGCCTTGTACCATGTGACAGGATGTGACCAATCACAGCTCACTCAGTTCTTCTCAATGAGTGCATGAATGCACACAGAGAGAAAGAGAAATGATTGCTTTTACATCCTATATGGGTGTAAAAGCAATCAGTGTAAAAAAAAAAAAAAAAAAAATCTTCATCACCCCTCACAAGTAGTACAGTGTCACCATGGTGACACTGTACTGCTAGGGTGACAGTATGTAAAAAATAAAAATAAAATAAAAAAAAAATAAAATAAAAATGTAAAAAAAAAAAATGTTTAAAAATTTAATTTTTGCTTGTAAACTAATTTGGATTTTTTTTTTTTTTTACTAAAAAGATAACGGAATAAATTTTGGCTAAGATTTATGATGAAATATTATTTATTTGCAAAATTTTATAAAAAACACTTTTTTTCAAAATTTTTGGACATTTCATTTACATAGCAAAAAAAATACAAATCCCAGTGGTGAATAAATACCACCAAAATAAAGCTTTATCTATCTCAAAAAAATGGTAAAAAATTCATTTGGGTACAGTGTTGCATGACCGCGCAATTGTCATTCAAAGTGTGATAGCGCTAAAAGCTGAAAATTGCCCTGGTCAGGAAGGGGGTAAAAGTGTCCCAGTCTGGAAGTGGTTAACTTTCTTTTTCTCATCACATGTGATGATATTTGGTGACCGGCTCTCTTTATTGAGACATCCAGGGTCTAAAAGACCCTGCATGTCTACCCTAAATGTAATGCAGTGTACATCACACCACATTACATTCTTTCTCAGCCTCAATGACTGGGAAATCTGTGAACAGGAACCCATAAATGACATCAGAACGTCACTTCTGGGTCAGGACAAGGGGAGGGGAGAGGACGTGTCCGCTCTCCTCTCTCCCCTCTAGCCACCAATGCACGTTGAACCAGTTCCGGGCCCACAGACGGGCAAGAAGAGCCTGGGAGACATAGTGGGCGAGAGGAGGTTTGCACGGGAGGGGGTGGAGGCTGGCACTGTAGTGGGCTGTGTGAAAGCAATTGGGCGGTAGTGCAGCCGGCCGAATGCCTTCACAAGACAGGTGAGGTTGAAAAAAAGAAAAAAAAAAAAAAAAAAAAAACGCTACCTGCCGGGTGACCGGAACTACATGTCCCGGGTGTCGGGCGATACAAATTCAACATCCCTGTCATATACCATCTGTTCTCAGCTGCATAACTGATGGGGGAGGAGAAATAACTGCAATCTGATCTTGCCAGTGACAGGCTGTGCATGGGGGGGGGGGGGTTGCCAGGACAAACCTGATCAAAGAGAAAGTCTGAGTACTGACCACGGTGTGTTCTCCTTCCTAGTGTGGTCAGTTTTTAATAGGAAAGCAGAGGGACTGGTAGGAACACCAAGGATTTCACACAAAGTAAGCAATACATTTTTCCATACAAGTGCATGGTACAGCAGACATATCAAGAATATAATATGTGGTTCACATTTTTTTTTTTTTTTTTTTTTAGGTACCAACCTTTCATGCATTTCCTTTGTTTCTCTCTCTTTCCTCTTAATTTCCAGTTCTGCAAACAGCTTCATGGTTTGTTTATATACAGCCTGTTTAAACTTCGAGAGAGAGAAAACATCCTTTTACACAAAAGCTTTAAAAAATACAATTTAATACATTTGATCACAAGAGATTTGCATCTCATAGCTGATATATAAAATATAGAATTCAGCTACAAGAAACACCTGTCTCAAACGAGCATTTATTGGACAGTGCAGATAGTTACTGCTTATGTTGTGGACCTCTCTATTCCCTAATAACAGAAAAAAACAAAAAAAAACATCAGGGCTGATGAAGTCACATGACTCATGACGTAACGCGTAGGACAGAAGTGTGATGACGTCATTACGGTATGGACAGCAGCAGCCATCTTGGTACTCCCAACCTCATACACCCTGTACTGTTCCAATTACAGTGATTGCTTTCTGGGTGTTACTTTTTATATCACCATTTGATTACAATTTTTTCTTCATTTATCCACTTCACTTGATGTTTTCTAGCCACCATTTGGCCACGTTTCATTTCATTTTTCCTCAAGCTACCTTTATTGACATTGACAGCGTTTTTGGATTTTATGTGTTATCCTTTGTCACTTATCCACCAACACATTTGTTTTTTCACCTTTTGACCACGTTATTGCCACATACTGTGGATTCACTCCTGTGGATATTATTGTGCACACTAGTTACTTGTTTTATGTGCATTGTTCACTTATTTTCTGTTTTATGGGATGGTTCACTCATTTGTCAGTAGTAGACGCTTAGTCTACAATCTCCTGAGCTCCCACCTCACGGACAACAACCTTCTTGACCCTTTACAGTCTGGCTTTCGCTCACTACACTCCACTGAAACTGCCCTACTAAAACTCACTATTGATCTACTAACTGCTAAAACCAATGGCCGCTACTCCGTACTCTTACTACTTGACCTCTCTGCGGCTTTTGATACGGTTGACCATCCCCTCCTCCTCAAAAAACTCCACTCTCTTGTTCTCAGAGACTGCTCTCTCCTGGTTCTCCTCCTACCTACCGCAGCGCTCCTTCAGTGTTAGCTATAACGCTCCCTTCTCTTCACTCCCTCTTCTGTAGGGGTCCCTCAAGGTTCTGTCCTTGGACCCCCTCCTCTTCTCCATCTACACCTTCTCCCTTGGTCACTTGATAAACTCCCATGGCTTTAAAGTACCATCTCAATGCTGATGACACACAAATCTATCTTTCTACCCCTCACCTCACCCCTTCAGTCTCCTCTCACATTACTAACCTACTAAGTGACATATCGGCATGGATGTCACTCCACTTCCTCAAACTCAATCTTTCCAAAACTGAGTTCTTAGTATTTCCCCCAGCCCGTGCCCCTTCCCATGACATCTCCATCAAGATCAATACCACAATTACCAGTCCCTCCCCTCATGCCAGGGTGCTAGGTGTAACCCTAGACTCCCATTTGTCCTTTCAGCCCCAAATCCAATCACTGTCCAAATCTTGTAGACTTCACCTCCGCAACATCTCCAAGATACGCCCATTCCTAACCTCAGAAACCACTAAGCAACTTATTCACTGCCTTGTTATATCTTGCCTTGACTATTGCAACTCCCTCCTCATTGGCCTACCTCATCGCAGGCTATCCCCTCTTCAGTCTATCATGAATGCTGCTGCCAGACTCATCCACCTTACTAACCGCTCTATATCTGACACCCCTCTCTAACAATCCCTCCACTGGCTTCCCGTTGCCCAACGGATAAAATTCAAAACATTAACAATAACATATAAAGCCATTTATAACACTGCCCCAATATACATCACCGATCTTATCTCTAAATATCACCCAAACCATACTCTCCGCTCCTCGCAAGACCTCCTGCTCTCTAGCTCTCTAGCTCCCTTTTCTCCTCCTCCCATGCTCGTCTCCTGGACTTCTCCAGAGTTTCCCCCATCCTCTGGAACTCTCTACCCCAATTTTTCAGACTATCGCCTACTCTGCTCATTTTTAGGCGATCTCTGAAAACCTCACTCTTCAGGGAAGCCTATCCTGCCCTCAGCTAATACTGGAATCTTCTACTTTTCCAACCAGTCCATCCCCCACAGTTACTACCTTTTGTACCACTAGCCCCTCCCTCCTAGATTGTAAGCTCCAAGGAGCAGGGCCCTCAAATCCCTCTTGTATTGAACTGTATTGTCTGTTATATTTTAAAGCGCTGAGCAAACTGTTGGCGCTATATAAATCCTGTGTAATAATAATAGTTTTAGGTGTCATTGTGTATTGAGGCTCACTCATTCTTAGGGCAAGTAGCGCAACACCATTTTCCCACTTATTGTCTTTCACTATTTGTTTATAGTCAGGTGTTAGCAGCCACTTTATTTTCTCTTTTGAGTTAGTCCATTTGGCAGCGCAGTGGGTTTTTCCTTTTCTTTTTTCTTTGGAGACCATGTAGTGCTGTTGCTCAATAGGTCAATTTAAAAACTTTTGGTTAAAATACATCAGATAAGCTCTCCCCACCACTCCTGGATACCGGCATGCCTACTGCCATGCAGACATCAATGACTCTTGATCGGCGCAAGAAGGGATGAGATGTATGACTAACAGCCTGGCCTTTGAGAATATAAGGAAACAGAATGCAGTTGAGTTTTTACCCACGGTTGATTTGTTTATAAACTGTTTAATTTTATCATTGGTTTCTGTATACACTGGCAAAGGAAGGTGTTGCTTTAAAGAAACCTGTTCTGAAAGAAAAAGGGGGTTGATTTCTAATTGCCTAGTCTTTATGTTCATACCCTGTTAACCCTTTATGCCACTGACTCAGCGCTAGTATGTAGATCAAAAATTCTAAATACACCTACTATAGGATCAGTGGTTTAAAATATGATCCCTATGACAACCAGAAAACTAGTATTGTTGAAAAGAGGTCAATGGTATTAGATTCCATATTTCTATAAGCAATGTTTTGTAAATGTTTTTTTTCTTAGTTATTAGAGAATCCCAAAACAAGTTAAAGGCTAAGTTCACTTTTGTGGAGAAAAAAAATAAAAATGCACATAATTTTGCATAAACACAAAATGTCCATACGCTGATCTCCCTTAACTAAGAACCCAAAAGCTACTAGGACTTAATCACTTCTGGTCTCTTTAAGAAGCTAATGGAGAATGACTGGGCCTGCTAGATCGATTCCATCTGAAATCTGACAGTCGACTTCCAACATTTACATGCAGTTCTGGCTGCTGTAATCATCTGGAGTATGTAAAATCCCCTGCTGCCATCACTGACATAAGACATACATTGGTGGCAGCCAAAATGTTAATATAGTTTGCTGTTACTTACAACTTCAGGGTCATCTTCCTCAACCAGTAATGGTTTCCCATCTTTTTTCAATTGCTTCTTCCTCTCTTTAACCTGAAAAGATACATGGAGAACTCAATCAACTCAATCTCATATTCAGTTTGATAACTGAAGTTGATAAAAAATAAACTATTAACACTTCTACTTCTGAAAGAATTCTTAATTTATTAGCACCTGCCTAAAACTTTTACATAGTACTTTATCTCTGTAGAATCCAAGATGCAAAAGACAGTGGGATTGTGGGGAGGGGGCAGTTGAACATCTTCACCTTTGGCACTGGATGACCCTGGTTTGAGCCTGCCTACCTTGGCTTCTGCACTGCAGGGGTGAGATGACTCTCCTTTCAGATAACCCAGGGAATGCCGAGTACCCCAAGTCTCAAGAGAAAATGAACCTGAACTGTGTCTGTGCAGCTGCTGCATCTACATCCACCGCTACGGGTTGCCTGCACGCAGCCCTGAGGTGGATGTAGATGAAGCAAAAAGTGGCTCTGCACAGAGGACGGGACTCAGGACCCATCTGAATGAGTCCTAAAGCAGATCTCACAGGTCAGGCTTAAGTAGTGCAGAAGAGAGAGGCCAGGAGTAAGTAGTGCAGAAGAGAGAGGCCAGGAGTAAGTAGTGCAGAAGTGAGAGGCCAGGAGTAAGTAGTGCAGAAGTGAGAGGCCAGGAGTAAGTAGTGAGAGGCAGAAAGTAGTGCAGAAGTGAGAGCCAGGAGTAAGTAGTGCAGAAGTGAGAGGCCAGGAGTAAGTAGTGCAGAAGTGAGAGGCCAGGAGTAGGTAGTGCAGAAGTGAGAGGCCAGGAGTAAGTAGTGCAGAAGTGAGAGGCCAGGAGTAAGTAGTGCAGAAGTGAGAGGCCAGGAGTAAGTAGTGCAGAAGTGAGAGGCCAGGAGTAAGTAGTGCAGAAGTGAGAGCCAGGAGTAAGTAGTGCAGAAGTGAGAGGCCAGGAGTAAGTGTGCAGAAGTGAGAGGCCAGGAGTAGGTAGTGCAGAAGTGAGAGGCCAGGAGTAGTAGTGCAGAAGTGAGAGGCCAGGAGTAAGTAGTGCAGAAGTGAGAGGCCAGGAGTAAGTAGTGCAGAAGTGAGAGGCCAGGAGTAAGTAGTGCAGAAGTGAGAGGCAGGAGTAAGTAGTGCAGAAGTGAGAGGCCAGGAGTAAGTAGTGCAGAAGTGAGAGGCCCAAGTAGTGCAGAAGTGAGAGGCCAGGAGTAAGTAGTGCAGAAGTGAGAGGCCAGGAGTAAGTAGTGCAGAAGTGAGAGGCCAGGAGTAAGTAGTGCAGAAGTGAGAGGCCAGGAGTGAAGTAGTGCAGAAGTGAGAGGCCAAGAGTAAGTAGTGCAGAATTGGTCTCCCCATCGGAAGATTTCATCTCTATTACTGTTCTGAGGACAACCTAGAATTTTGGATTTTTTTAAACTTTCACTTTTGATAACTGTAAACAGGACAAATGGAGAGGGTGAATCTCCCTAGTAGCAGTAGAAACCTGGCAGGTGATCTTATCCCTCTCCACTCTGTCCAAAACTAAAAGAAACGTTTTGCCTTTAGTTATACTTTAATGTCAGCCCTGGAAAGACAGGGGCTCACCAGTGTCTGCTGCAGACATCACAATAGAACACATTAAAATCCCTCACTTTCCTTTCACTTCCTACAGCTGGCCATACACAGTTAGATTTTTGTTTTTGAGCGTTCATAGAAAAATCTGTTAGAACATTTTAATTTTCTGAAAAATATTTTCTAACAAAATTCCAACTTAACATTATCTCCATGTATTGTCTTTAAAGCGGAGCTTCACCCAAAAGGGGAAGTTCCGCTTTAAATACTGGTCCCCTGCTCCCCAATAACGATTGGCACCTTTGGGGAGCGGGTACCCGAAACTGACAGGTACCCGCTCCCACTTCCGCTGCGATCGCCTAGGCGATCGGAAGATGTCCTCCTGCCCGCCCTCCCCGTAGTCTTCTGGGACACGTGACAGGTCCCAGAATACTACGGGGGCCATTCAGGAAGTGCAGTGCTACTCACGCATGCGCAGTGCGCACCTGGCTGTGAATTTGCAAGCTGTCACAGCCAGGTGCCCACACTGAAGATGCCGGTGCATGGAACACCAGACGGCTGGTGAAACAGGCTGCGGGGAAGAGACTGCGGGATCGTGAGACAGGTGAGTGGCTGTTTTTTTAAAAGGCAGCAGCTACAGTTTTTGTAGCTGCTGACTTATTTTTTTTTACAGTGTGAGTGGAACTCCGCTTTAAGAAGACAACCAGGTACACCATATAACGTGACTAAGGCAGCAGGAAATATTACTTTTTGCCCTAAAATCCAACAAGGAGTTCATAAATGCATTTTGGCATTTGCTATCCCCCAAAAAGAGACAAAAAAATATATATTATATATTGGATTGCAAAACATTCAGCATGTTTAGCATAAAAAGCAAAAAAGCAGACCAAAATGAACTCAAAACTAAAAATCATGCTAGCATTTTTTTTGGGGATTATTTTTGAAAAGCCAGTGTTTTAAAATAATGGATCACTTACATTATGTTCAACATATTCATAGCCAGCCTGAATGACATCAAGTGCCCGCTTCTTCTGTTCACCCTCCAGCAACAGCTTGTATGCCTTGTCCACCGCTGCAGCAAACAAGGACATATCAAGGAAAACTGCACGAATATTCGTTCACAAAGTATATTTTACAATACACACACACGTACAAAATGCAGAGAAAAAAAGTGTGGCTGACAAAATGTAAAAATACTGAAATTTAAGCGGAGTGTATCAATTGAAAAACCTAATGAAAAGTATTTCATATTTTACATCATAAAACCAACCTCTGTTTAAAGTATAATTCATATTTACTTTATATGAACTTAATATATTAATTGTAACAGACGTATTCTGTTTCATATCCTTGTTTTACTTACTACATACAGATAAATTCAATTATAAAAAAAAAAAAAAAAAAAAACTGTCAAAATCAGGAATCTATAAAATTTCAAGTTACCTTCAAATGCTTTCTGGGCTCTGTCTGGATCATCCTGATTTTTATCTGGATGAACCAGGATCGATAACTGTAAGGGAAGCAAAAAAAAAAAAAAAAAAAAAAAAAAAAAAAAAAAAAAAAAAAAGACTTATTTAGGGAACTTTTACATTTGAATTATGTAGCTACCTACATATTTCACTTAGCATTCATTTCATTTTAAGCTTCTATATATTACAGAAATAAAATTGTGCTTCAAATTTAAAGCACATCCGCAAAATCCTCTTATTTGTGTACAGTATTAAACATAAGATCTTAGGGTTATATGCAGCTACCTTTCTGGGTACTGGAAAAAAAAAAAAAAAAATAAAAATGCAGGGACATCCACCATATATACTGCTCAAAAAAATTAAAGGAACACTTTTTAATCAGAGTATAGCATCAAGTCAATTAAACTACTGGGCTATTGAGCTGGTCAGTTAAGTAGAAGAGGGGATTGTTATTCAGTTTCAGCTGCTTTGGCATTAATGAAGTTAACAACAGGTGCACTAGATGGGCAACAATGAGACGACCCCCAAAACAGGAATGGTTTTACAGGTGGAGGCACTGACAATTTTTTCCCTACTCATCTTTTCTGACTGTTTTTCACTAGTTTTGCATTTGGCTAGGGTCAGTGTCACTACTGGTAGCATGAGGCGATACCAGGACCTTAAAGAGGTTGCACAGGTAGTCCAACTCTTCCAGGTTAGCACATCAATATGTGCCATTGCCAGAAGGTTTGCGGTGTCTCCCAGCACAGTCTCAAGAGCATGGAGGAGCTTCCGGAGACAGGCAGTTACTCTAGGAGAGCTGGACAGGGCCGTAGAAGGTCCTTAACCCATCAGCAGGACCGATATCTGCTCCTCTGTGCAAGGAGCAACAGGATGAGCACTGCCAGAGCCCTACAAAATGACCTCCAGCAGGTCACTGGTGTGAATGTCTGTGACCAAACAATCAGAAACAGACTTTATAAGGGTGGCCTGTGGGCCCGACATCCTCTAGTGGGCCATGTGCTCACTGCCCGGCACCATAGAGCTTGATTGGATTTTGACATTGAACACCAGAATTGGTAGGTCTGCCACTGGCACCCTGTGCTTTTCACAGATGAGAGCAGGTTCAATCTGAGCACAAGTGACAGACATGGAAGGGGTCTGGAGAATCCGTGGAGAACGTTATGCTGCCTGTGACATTGTTCTGCATGGTGGTGGGTCAGCGATGGTCTGGGAAGGCATATTCATGGAAGGACACACAGACTTCTATGGGCTAGACAATGGCACCCTGACTGCCATTAGATATCAGGATGAAATCTTTGGACCCGTTGTCAGACCCTACGCTGGTGCAGTGGGTCCTGGGTTCCTCCTGGTGCACGACAATGCGCGGCCTCATGTGGCAAGAGTAGGCAGGCAGTTCCTGGAGGCTGAAGGAATTGATATCATTGAATGGCCCCCATGCTTGCCTAAATCCAATAGAACACCTCTGGGATATCATGTTTCGGTCCATCTGATGCCACCAGGTTGTTCCTCAGACTGTCCAGGAGCTCAGTGATGCCCTGGTCCAGATCGGAGAGGAAATACCCCAGGGCACCATCCATCAACTGATTAGGAGCATGCACCGACGTGGTCAGGCATGCATACAAGCACGTGGGGGCCATACAAACTACTGAGGACCATTCTGGGTTGCTGCAATTAAATTTAATCAAAATGGACAAGCCTGCTGTATCAATTTTTAACTTTGATTTTTGGGGTATCTTTGAATTCAGTCCTCTGTAAATTGATCATTGTCATTTCCATCAAACAATGGGGCATCCTTACGTTCCTAACACATTACCTATTCCATATAAGTATAAATATCCAGCATGATATTTTTCCCCATTGAGATCTGATGTGTTTTCAAAGTGTTCCTAATTTTTTGAGCACTGTATATCCCTTCCCACTAAAACCTCAGTTTTATAGCAAGTAATATGCAGATCATAAAGAACAGAGGGTAGGGACCTGTGTCCTATATAGTACACCAACAAATGTATTTTACAGGCATTTTTTTTTTTAACATACAGTACACAGTATCTTAGTCTTAAAGCGGTAGTAAACCGCCCAATAAAAAAAAAAAAAAAAAAATTCTAAAAAAAAAAAAAATCTACCTACTTGATCATAATGTGCTAGTATGCATCACATACTAGTACATTATGAACAACTTACCTGAAAATGAAGCCCTCCAGCATATCGCTGTCACGGCTCACGAGGCTTCCATCTTCACCCCGGTTTTCCTTCAGGGTTCGCGAGCTGCGGTTATCTGATTGGCCAAACCATGATGTTGTCATTCCCACACATGCACAAAGGGAGTTTCGGTTGTGGCGCACAGTCTATCGAGAGCAGAGTGCGCATGCGCCAGTGACAACACTGTAAATATCTCCTAAACAGTGCACGTTGAGATATTTATAGTACCTACAGGTAAGCCTTATTAAAGGTTTGCCTGTAGGTAAAAGTTAACAAAGTGGGTTTACTTCCACTTTAACTATGGAATGTCCAAAAAGCAGTCCAACAGAGGGGTGCGCTGAAAAGGCTCATGTAACATTGGGTCAAAGAACGGCTTGACAAAATTCAGAACTTGCGGAACCTTACAGACTAAACAGGCATCAGATAAGACCTGTACATTTACGTGTAAAACTTAAACATGTGAACGGAAGCCTTGTAAATCTGGAAAACAGATGCCTGATGCTGAAATGCCCATGAACCAATAACAGATCTGGTATAGTGCAATTTAGCAGGAAAAGGAGGAACCCTATCCTTTAGACCAGTAGCCTCCAAACAGTAGCCCTTGGGCCAAATGTGGCCCTTTGCTTACCTGTAAGCAATCCCTGGGGCACTGTTCTTTCCACTGATATGAGGCAATATTCCTCCCAATAACACAATGAGTTACCATTCCTCCCACAGACGACTGTTGGGCTACTATTCCTAACACTGACACCAATGAGGGGGCACCATTCCTCCTGCTGATAAGAATTATGGGGCAATTTTGTTTCCACTGACAGCAGTGGTGGAGCACTATTCCTCTATTCCAATGATGGGGCACTACTCCCTATAATGACACCAATGGGAGGCATTGATCCTCCTACTAACCACAGGCATTATGTAATTGTTTTGCTCGCACTGACCATCAAGCCTGAGACATTGTTTACTCCCACTGACACTGGAGAATTTTCTACTCCCACTGGCCTCAGTCCAGCCCTCCAAGCAAACCGGCCCTTTGTTTAGAAAGTTTGGAGACCCTGCTTTAGACTATTGGCTCTAATGATGACTGTAAGCATGAAATGAGATGAACCTGCCCACTGATCTTTTCTTGATTTAACATATTTAGAGGATGTCGCTGCAGCTTTTTTTTTTTTTTTGGCCTATGTTCAATTGCTTGAAGGTAGGCTGCATATAACCCATGGTTAAGTCCAAGATCCTGTGTCCTATATTGTACAAATTAGAAATCCCCTTTTTTATTCCTACTATTTTACTCAAAACACAACCTACAGTTGCAGTTGGGAGCTGCAGGATTTATTAGACATCAGGTTTCTACTAGCAGATCTTTCCATAAAGGGAATTCCAACTCAGCCATCACATCTTGAAAAGTGCCAATTTCATCCTTGGTGAGTCAATTCCTGACTTTAGGGCACACAGATATCTGTTCCAGTTATTTGGTCCATAAAAAAGGATAAGGCTTGGTTAAAAGGGAAAAATAGAGTATATTAGGTGAATGCTGAATTTGAACGATCATTGTAATGTTTATCTTAGAGTAGTTCTTCATGCAGATTTAACATTTTACATTCTTGCTGCTCGATATTATGGTTATTGTACTAAATGTTGCGTTTTGAACATTAGCAGCTAAAGGGAACACGTACTTAAATGGACCGACTTGCATTATAAGAAGAAAAGCATGACCATTGTGTTTTAATGCAAACCAGAAATCAGAGCCTTTAAAAGTTCTGAGTGAAAAAAAGATGTGACCCCATGCACACACAATAAATAACATCCTTTAAACTTGTTTCTGTGTGTAGGTTAAGTTCACCTTTAGGAACATTCCGTACGGCACGCAGATATACTGACAGATCTGCAGGAGACTTGCTTTCCAGGCTCCTGCAACCAAAAATAATAAATGCACTTTTTTTACCTGCAGAAAAGTGTGCTTTTGTTATTTTTAGTCAAAAGGTGAACGTATCCTTTAAAAATAAAACATGCTGAAAAAAAGGTTTAGAACTTGTGGGATCTCCCTCACATGTACACTATATTAAAACTAGAAAATCTACAATTTCTGGGGAAATTGTGTGAAGTGTTCTTGCATCCAACCCTAACCAAATGATTGATGAAATGTAAGCAGTGCACATGGCAAGCCTGATAGAGTGAGAACTGCATTTCAACTTGGTCACTCAGCTGCCCCGTGAGTCATGTTTGGTTGCTATAGCAACTCACTCAGTCACAGGAAGCTGACAGGCTTTTCTAAACACACTGCTGCAACTTGCCAACTTAACTGGCGATTGCCATCTTCAAACACTTGTACTTTTAAAAGTATAAATGCTACAGCGAAGAGCTTTATATTGTGAGAATCACAAGAAGCAGAGCTAAATTGATGTATAGTATGTCTCTGAAATATTACAAATGAAGGCACAGTCGCAGTTTAAAAATGTCCCTTCAAATTTCAGGTGACTGTGAGTGAAGTTTCAATGAAAGTCAATGGGAGGGGTGAGTTGCAAACAAATGGTCATATTGTGAAAACTATCAGGACTATGGCTTAGCCGTGAAATTTTTAGTGACAGCAGGGTTAGCTGAACGTTTTGATATACGATTTGTGTAGGTGGGCTTGAAAATGACAGAGTGATGGCAGCTTAGAAATCATGTTCTGATTTTTCCTTCCACACTGAAGCTTTTCTCTGCTGCCACTCTAGTAGCTCCATTCATTCCTATGGGAAAATTTCACCACAAAAACCGCGATATTTCGTGAACGATTCGGCGAAACGTTCCACAAAGTAATAGCAATCAGATTGGGAACAATCCGCACGTTTGATATATTACT